ACAATATAAATTCATTAGTCTCGATTTAAAATGAAATGATTACAATTTTTAATGGAAAATAATTAATCATAATTATTAATGAATATTATATTAATGAAATTAAATTTATAATAACTACAATTAAATATGCACTACATTATCAATACTTTATAAACCAATAATAATGATTTCGCGTGTAATTATTAGGCTTTAGAGCTCGAGGAAGGAATCAACCTAATTTTTTATTTAAAAGATTCGACGAAAATGGTTTTATTTAAAACTAATATAATTTATACGCTAATATTAAGAATATGTGTTCTTAGGAGCCATTATTGAATATCCGTTAGTATATCGAAGAGGAGGAAAATGAGAAGCGGGAGTTTGAGGTGGCGCGTGACCAGCCATATCAGTATTTTCCGATATATTACTTCCTATGGCTCTTTGATCCGAAGTTTCTGCATCTTATGCAAGATGTCTTATCGTTACCATTTTCGTTCAAATATTGAAATCACTTTTTTTTTCTACGTTCCATTAAAAATTGAAAAAATTTCGTAAAATCTTGTGAACGGGAAGGATTGATATAAGAAAATTACCAATTGAATATATGAATATTGCAATAAAGTATATTATAAGAGGTTGTTTCCTTAAACTTACCTGTTTTAGATTGGCAAGTAAAATTTGTTATTTAAGAATAAATTAACTATTTAGTTTCATATTATTTTCTTCTCTATTCAGTTGTTTTGCCTTTAATGTACTTAAAGTTTTTGAAGCATTGAATTTAAATTTTAATTACATCAAGATATATAGATAAATGAGGTAAATTTACGATTATGGATTATGTTCTATAAAAATAATCGTATCCATAATATTTCGTAAAATTACTAATAACTTATTCGTGTCATTGTACTTTTAAGTTGGTTATTCATGCTAAGAAAAAAAAAGCAATGAGTATTCAACAAAATTTTGATTACAATATAAATACCTTTTAGTATACATTGAGAGAGAAGCAATGAGATGATATGGTTTATTTAAAAACAATAATAAAAAGGGCGTTAAACATATAAATATATATATACTGTTAACAAAAAATTTCAGACAATAAAATGAAGAGATATAAAAATCAGTTTAAATTTTGTCTATCGATAGCAATATGTAAGTGCGAATCATGTACAATTCAAGATTCATTACGTGTGCAATGAAATTTCACGTGGCCAGAGCAACGGGATAAACTTATTTTATTAAATCCTCGGAAGTCTCACGGGAATTGTGTGTGTTTAGAGACACTCCCTATGTTCAAATTCCTAACTAAATTCCCCCTTAAAGTTCTCGCTAGGTCATCGTCAAATATATTGTTGAACTGACGTTGCAGTGGCGAGTGAAATAAAAGATTGCCATGATCTGACAGTAGGAAATAATTGAAAAAAGTTGACTGATACTGGATTCGTGAAGTGATACCCATCGTTTACACTTTTTACACGATGCTGTACTTTTCCAACTTTTACTGACTTATGTGCGTGCGTGTGCGTGCGTGCGTGCGTGCGTGTGCGTGCGTATGTGTGTGTGTGTGTGTGTGTGTGTGTGTGTGTGTGTGTATAAGAGGCCAGTTTCAAAGTATATGTATGAACTTAAAAAGAAGAAAAAAAAAGAAGCAAACGGAAAGCGACGTAGGCTATTTCGTATTGGAAAAATAAAATTTAGAATTATTTGGAATTAAATGATTTTTTCATTATATATTTTTAAATTATCCTAATAGTTGATGTTATTAAATCTTTTGAAATAAATAAAAAGAGCTTTGCTGAATTTTAATTAATCATTATATTTGATACTAGTAAACATCTTTAAATATTCTAACGTCCGAAAAGTATATCTTTTCCGATCAAACTTTATTCTCCATCAAACTTTAAGTTACAAGTTTCCCTACTTAAAAAATTTTATAATTACTGACTAATAACACTTTATTTTTACAGAAGATATTATTTATGAATCATCGTGATTCATTTATATCGTGAAGATATAATAATATTATGAATTGCATAGAAAAAAAATTTATACATAAAGTTGGTTTAATGAATCAATTATATATTTAGTATAAGAAATTAAAAAAGAAATTATTTTTATTAAACTTCGGATTATTATCCTTATTCGGATTCTTATTATTATTCTCTTCGGATTATTATTATAATTCTTAATAATTTGTATACTATATACTTACTATAGTCGAATATAATACATAATAGAACGATTAGATAGAATAGCATTTTATTTATTGCATAAAATATGTTTCAATGTTAAATACGTATTTGATGAATCAGTATAAATAATAATATCGAGAAAAGAAGAAATATCATTGTTACAGAGTCTTTTTAAGAAAATCATATTTTCTATTCAGATTTATATTTATTATATTTTGATATAGAAATATAAATTAAATGTATGGACACGACTTTAAAACATTTTTATTTTTAAAATAATTTATATATCATAGAGCTGATATTAATGTAACAAATAATTTTGTTCTTTTCAAAAAAATGACTATACATCATAGAAATTCTAAAATATTTATCTTTGAAAATACGTCAAATACAAACTTTTACCATGAAAAAATCTAAGCTCATAATATATTTTCTTAAATTTAATTTCTGATAGATTCAACAGAATATTGAGCAGAAAAGGCCAATATATTATATATTCAGCAGAATTTTTAAGCATGAAATATTCTCGAATATAATAACATTAAGTATATATCGAAAATCCTCAATTTATTAATCTAACAGGAAAGTTGAGATACATATATACACACATTTTACATTTTAAACAAAAACTGCAAATTGATTTTTTCAATAACTTTTTTTTCATTATGCTTCCTCCAAAACTTTTGAACAGAAGCTTAGATTGACTTGAAAAATCTTCAAAATATGTGAAATTTATACCTCTATGTAGTCAAATGTGGAAAAGTAAAATTTATATATATATGTATGAAATTTCATTTTTATAACTTCAATATTAATATTTTTTCAACGCCTATCATACAATTGATTTTCCTTTCGTTATGTCTGTTTCGTAATATGTAATATCACACAAATACATTTATTTTATATAAAGAATGTAAATCATCGCATATGATACTGTTTGATTCTTAGAAAATTTTATTATAAGAAAATTATATATTGCAATATTTTACAAAAAATATACGCATATTAGTGTAACTATTTTTAAAAATTATTTCATAGTCAAGATAATTTATAGTTAAGATTATACCTGCATATGTTATATATTTGTAATAAATTTATTTTACAACAAGTTTATTAAAAAAACCAAGATACCTTATTCTCTTATTACCATATACTAGATATTTATTAAATATTAAAGATGAATTTTATTTTTAAATAATAACTATTATTCAATTTCTTAAATAAAGACTTGTTTTTATTTTAAATGAATGGTCTTATTTAAATTACTGTGTATTTTTTTACTATTTTACATATTTTTAAATTTTTATCAAATAGTATTTGTTCGAATATACATTAGTAATAATTTATTTCAATGCTAAAATGCTTTTAGACAATGTTTAATGAATTTCACCGTAAATCATAAAAACAAACTTATGCTTAAAGTCTCATGGGCCATCCATTAAGCCAAGTACAAGTACAAGAAAGAAAAAAAAAATATTTAAAAATAATTTTTTTTAAATACATTTATTCGATATTATTCGTGAAGTTGTTTTTCCTTTCATAAGTACAAACTTGGAGTAATGCACTGTGTGGATTTTCCCACATTCGTTTCTTGCATTATAAGTTGAGAATATACCGTACATAAACAATATATGGTATTCTTGCTCAAAGTGTTTTATTTCATATATTCATTGATTAAATTATCCCCCATAGTACCGATTGGAAAAGTTTTAAATGCTAGAAAATGTAGGTTTAAATAAATTATATAATCCTACTTAGCATTCTTTGTTACTCTATTGTTTTTTTTGTTTTTGTTTTTTGTTTTTTTTGTTTTTTTTTTTTACTTCAAAATGAATTCTGAAATTATAGTTTATATAAACAAATTAAATAATAATTATTTCTTATTAGATAAATGGACAAGGATTTTATATTACGTTTATTGAAACAGTTATAATTGACTCAAACCTTTCTTTATAGGTCAGCGACAGCTTGCTTATCGACATTAAACTTATTATAAGTTATTGAAGTATCTAGTTTTATGAGTTTCACAAAGCTTTAACAGCTATTTAAAAATATTTATATAATTGACGATATTACTCGTCTCAAAACAGATGATAAATTTACATAAATTAAAATTAACCAAAGTGTAAACGGATCGTATTATCGTATAAAATAATACATAAAATTATTATGGGCAAATATAGGAAGATAAGAAAAAGCATTACATACATATGTATACGAGATAAAAAGTTTTTATTAAGAATATTTTCTATTCCATATTTATTTTTATAAGAAGAAGAAATATACAGTTTAATAAAATAAACATTTAAAATATTAGGATAGTTAAGATAATGAAGTTATTAAAAAATATTGATTAAGTCTAATTTAAAAGTTGAGACAAATTGCAGTTGAAACAAATTACATACTATTAACTCATGTAAATTAATTTTATTAACAAATGTGCTGTATTTTGAAACTAATGTCTCGATATTTGATTGAATCAACATTGTATTACACAATTAATATAATTTAATACTTAATAACAATATATAAACCTATCCAAAGCTCATCTATTGAAATCCATAGTGACTTATTATTGTATAATACGCTATTGCGACGCGTAAATTTTCATATGAATATTTTAATTTTAACAGTATGTATTTAAATACTTGTATACCACATTAATCATACATTTAATGATTACGGTTGTTAATTTTATGTAAAAATTTTCATATATGTATAATATTAATTGAATCTACGAAAACACTATACATATACTTCTGATATTAATATACTGCGATGTCCCATAGAATTTGCTACTCTTTTTATCACTCATTTACAATTATGACAATGTGGCAAGTGATGTTGATTATAAATTTTTATATTTACTTTATTCAATGTAGAAAGTAATAAACTTCCAGTGTGTGCATAATTAAAAAGGATTTTAAATCATTAACTATCGCAATTCAATTTTGATTCTCGCTATAACATTTTTTTCAATATTAAAATTATTCCAAAGTATATATTATCTCAAAATATACATGGAAACATATTTTATGAGACAATTGCGAAATACTTTTGTGGACTTTGATACAATCAGAAATTGATTATGTAATGGTGTATATATAATATATATATATATATATATATATATATATATGTATATTTATTTATTTATTTATTTATTTATTTATTTATTTATTTTTAAATTTATTTAGTTTTAAAAACATTTGCGAAATATTCTATGACTACCTTTTATGTTATAGGAGAATGGTGACTATAACAGCCCGAGCATTCAAGAAAAAATACTTCAGCAACAGGCACAGAATTGTAAAAATGGCTCGAGTACTCTTAATGGTATGTGTGTCGCTTATGACTGCATTATACAGTTTCATTGTCCGACACCTAAACTTTACACTCCCCTGCCTCTTTTAACTAACGAATTTCAATTTCCTTCAAAGTGATAAAGAAATATTATAATACATTTGCATCATAATAATACTTACGTACAGGAAGTTATGTCTAAATAATTAATTAGATAAAAACTTAATATCCCTACGGTTTATTATTTTGTATATCACCGCTAACACTACTGTTGACAATAATAGGAAATAGTATAGGATTAGAACTTATTAATTATTAATGACTGAAATCTATATCATATTTAATCTTATTAATAACTGACATTTGTAAACAATAGATTTATTCTTAAATCACAAATCTGTACTTAGAGTAAAAATTTCTTCCAATTGACAAGGAATATCATAGTCAATAATACTTTATTTTTAGATTAATTGTAAAAATATATCGATACGATTGATGTCTTAAAAAAATAATTATATAAGCAGTACCTTTGCTGTGTATGTTATATTTTCAATTTTAAGGAAGTAAAGCTTGGCTTAAAAGTTGGCATTTTCACATCAACATAAGATTTCTCTATTTTTCTATTAAATAAATAACACTTAGTAGCAGCATTCATCGCTTTAAGGTAATTATTTCGCACTATATTTCTTCTTTTTATATAAGATTTATTGCAGATTAAAGCCAGATGATTCAAATAACTGCTTGTTTTAATATATTCAAACATTAATAACGTTAAGTAGAAAATACTATGTACATTAAATTGTAGATTTGCTATAAAAGTACTAAAGATTATTGCCTAATTATTGTTTATTAGATTAACGTAACAATAATACGCTCTTTCATTTCTAAATATTACATATAAGAATATTTTTCTTTTGATTTTTTTTTTATTCTAGCTTTTTTTTTTTTTTTTATATAAATTATCATATTTTTAATAATATAATATTATCAAATAGCATTGCTTTTTTACTGATTTATTTTTTTAATAAAATTTGAATAAAAAGAATAAAATAACAATGTTATTGTTAAATATTATATTATTATGATTTTAGTTTAGTAAAGAAATTAATGTGTGTATAATAAAAATAAATTTAGTTTATCTTACCATTTCCTTACATTTATACTGTCGCAGACAGATAAAAAGATTGAACAATATACTGTTATAACTGACGTAAGCTTTCAATTAGTTTATAAAGGATTCAAGTAAATAATTTACGTATTCTTCTGAGTAATTTAACGAATATTTAATTACATTCAGCAACAAACTTATATACATACACTGTACGATTAATAAATTGTTTCATAGAAATTAATTAATTATCTGAAAATTAGCAATAATAAGATAATCCTTCGTTATTATAAATTAATTGTATATTAATTTATAAGTGATTTTTAAAGTGCAAATTAAATAAGTAACATTATAAATTTGTCATGAAATTTATAAATAAACGAAAATAAGCATGAAAATTCTTGTAAAATCGTGAGTCGTGCAAATTATCCCATGAAAGAAACTTATTTTATTGGCGAAGAAGTCTCGAAATGTAGAACAATCATAAAGTTAGTTTAAAATAACCTTTGTTTGTTTTTTTAAATAAATTTGACGGTCTGTATTAAACAATACACTTCAATATGGGAATTGAAATTAATTTTCTTGCAATCGTTTCAATTCAATAAAGTAAATAGATATTTTTATGTACATTTATTATTAAAACATCGAAAGTATCAATGGAACCTTTAATTTATTATTTTCTGAAATAGGAATTAATGTTAATGATGAAATTCTAAGATGTAAGACATTGACTAAGTTTTATTTAAAAAATTATAATTTATTATAAAAATTACCAAAACAAGATTACGTAAATTATGCATTGCGATATATAAAATTGTCTTAAAAAATATTTACTTACTACGTATGAAAATTAGAATTAGAAATTATAATTCAGTGAGTATTCCTTTAAAAAAATATGCCTTTTCGTCGAATGATGAACATATTCACAATTGTAATTAAATTAAATTTTATTATTATTTCTAAATTTTACATGAAATATACTATTATAAATATCACAAATATATGAAATATTCAATATGTTAAGTTGACTAAAAATATCATATTTAATGTATAAAATATAACACACTATTGAATAACAATTTGTAAAGATTTTTTTAATAAATGACCTAGAAATTTGAATATATTCAATTTATTTCGCAAAACACACTCACGATTTTTAAACTAAATAACTCTGATTTTATCGATACAATATGCAGATATCTGATAACATATAATTTAAAGAATTTATAGGTATACAAAAATTAAAAAGAGAGATAATTATCAAATTTCAAAAGATCATTTAGATCATTTAGTATTAAAGAGCTCCATCTAAGCTTACATAGCAAATTTTCTAGTTTTTATTCAAGTAAAATAAGAATATATGAATTTCATGCGGTCATGGATTAAGCTTAAAAATCTTAATAATTAATTCAAATGTAATTTTATGCATCAGAAATATTACAACGACCTATAATGTTTTCTCTTATACTTACACATAGACAATAAAAATATTATTAGTGTAACTGCACGACAAAGTGAAAAAACAGGAGTATTACATAAAAGTTGATGTCTTATCTACAAAAAAAAAAAAAAAAGAAAAAATGTTCTATGCAATCTATGTCAATTAAGAAGCATGTGATCGTGATAACATAATTGTGATAACATTGTAAGAACAAGAGCATGTATTTATATAATTCGTATACTAAAATTTTCCAATTTTTACTAAACTTAATATTATTATTAGTACTGAGAAAAGATAAATAAATAAAGTATGTAAATCGAATCTACGAGAATGACAATGACCTTGTAATTTAACAAGATCGATTAATAATTTCAATATATTTAAAAGTTTTTATAAATCATTGTCTAATTATTACGATATAGTATGTGCTATTTTTATAATTCTTTCTATATCAAATAAACTTTTAATAATTATATACTTTAATTTAAACTTTACTCGTCAAATACATATAGAAAATATTATCTTCATTATTAATAAATACGTAAAGTACTTTGTACTAGTCTCGACTACTTTTATTAAAAAATAATCTTAAAACATATTCTAACTCTACTTACTTCTACACACAGATATACATATATAAATTAATCTAATATGCATATATTTGAATTAATGTATCTTCACTTCATTATGGCAATTATTTATCAATTTTTATTACTGTAAAATGCTTACAATTAAACAACTACTTACGAAATAAAAATTATAATATGATTTTTTAAGTAATGGTTCTGTTAATTGTTAATTACTGTTAATTATAATTGTTATTTACCAAACAACAACAACTTTTTAATTATTAATTAAATTAAATCAATTTAATAAATAATAATAAATAATAATAATTATAAATAATAATGCATTTGATGAATCTGTCTCAGTCTGTGTTAATAATTTGTAAATAGTTTTATTGGTTAAATGTCGCTTTCAGTGTAGATTCAGTGTAGAATGAAAAAGTTAGAAGATATTTTACATAGAATTTTCGTATTCTTCCATATTTTAATTATACTTGTGTAAAAAATTCTCATTATAAGTGATGAAAAATTATTATACCATTTGATTTTTACAATTCATTATTCTTAAATTGGTCCGTAATTTGCGATGAAGTTTTTTTAAATATAAAAATGAGTATTGCTTAAACTGCATTAAAATGCAGTTTCACTTGAATTAATTAACGAAAATACATTTCACAAAACTGAGAAACTAAAGAAAATTACTTAATAATAACCTTTCTAGCATAGAATGTTTTCATTAATATTGTATTAAATTGTAAAATACAGAATTTTCACACATAAAACTACCGTCTAAGCAATTTAATCTTCACTAACTAATGCTTAAAGATCATTGCTAGAACAGGACAGTTCACTAATTTGCACATTCTATTCCTAAATTTATTTAATGAGATCGCATTCATTTATACGTTCGTACATTGATCTATAAAGAATTGCAAAAATCATGTGAATATCGCTTTGGCTTGGTTATAGGTTGGTGTCCAATCACGTGGGATGGTATATTGTGTTGGCCATCGACACCTCCTGGAGAATTGGCTGTTCAATCCTGTCCACATTATATAGCGGGATTCGATTTGCAGGTTCGTCAAGCAAATGCACTAACATCCCTAAATGTGATAGGAAAAAAGGATAGAGAGTGTGGGAGTTGAAGGCGAGGCAGAGTCGAAGGCAACTTTCTATTTTACCAGCAAATTTTGAAATCTCTCTTATCTATATGTTGAGTACTATGTAGAAGCGTGAACAACGAATCCATAAGTACACCGATAAGTTTTCATATTATCTAGAGTCGTTACGTATTGATCATTTGCTTTTTAATATAACGTCAGATGTCTAAGATATTAAGTGAGGAGATACGAATGAGAAATTCATTAGATACATATAAATGATTCAACAATTCACTCGTTTCACGAACGCTGTAGATACTATAAGTAAATTGTAATTTACATACACAATGTAAAATCAATTAAAATACAAAAATTATAAGAATTTATTAATTTCAATGATTGCGCGTCTTTATTAAAAATACATTTAATTATTGTTCGATTCTAATGATAGAAAATTTTTATATGAATATCAAATAATTCTAGTATAATTCCAGTTTTAAAAATTTTATGAATTTTAACAATTAACTGATGAGTATTCTTTCAACATTGTTACGTAATCAATTATAGATGTAAATTAATGATTTGAAAGTTTTTTATGTATTTAAATTTCCGAATAATATTTCTAATACACGTTAAAAGCACTTAAAAACTGATTTGCCATTTAATTTTTAATAAAATATTTCATCTATGTAATACATATTTTTAAATAAAAATAATACAAAAATAATGTATCGCTGTAAAAAGAATTAGTTAATTATTATTTAACAATCTAGTGAGAGGAATGATAAGAATACATAACAGACAGAATATATATATATATATATATATATATATATATATAGCACGAAGAATTAAGAATATCGTAAAGAATGTTGTTCATTTAAAAATTATATTTAAATAATTTATCTAATAACTTTTGAAAAGAACTTGTTACGATACATGACAATACGTATACTTTATCTTATAAATATACTGGTACTATGTGTACTTGTGATTAATTTTCTATCAAAGACCAGAATCCAAAATTATCATCTAATTATATTCACATAGTATGACAATACTATTTATAATATGATTATTATTTTACACGCAATTTTACATAGATAGTCTTTCAAATTTAATAACAGAAATTAAATTAATATTATTATAATCGATATAATACTGTAATACCACAGATTATACATGACAAATTATAAACTTCAAGAAGAAGGGCCTTTTGCATGCAGTTTACTAATAAATACTCAAATCGATATTAGGAAATATGTTCATGATGCCAAGTAAATAGTTTCTGATATCTAAATATAATTTAATCAACTCTTATTAGATAAAGTACCTTAGCTTTTGTATAACGAAGAGTCTTCGGGACCCTGTAAAACAACACTATCATACTAAAATCTATTAAATATGAAATCAAAGTTTACTTTTCTTCATAATAACAATTCTATAAAATAATTTATTTTAAACCTTTATAGTATAAAATAAATGTGTGAAATCTTATTTCCAATGGGAACTAGAATATCACTGAATATATTGAAATATATATATATATATATATATATAGTGTGTGTTATAAAAATATAGATATATATATATATATTTATATATATATATATATATATAGTAGAAATGCTATGTAAAGCTGCAATTTCGATTATAATTTGATTCGAATGTGTGTAATTTAAATATCAAATTATAATAATAACGATGTCATTTTTTTTTTCAGGCAAATGCAACAAGACACTGTACAGAAAATGGTCAGTGGTATTGGAGTGTTAAACAAAATAGCACGTGGACAAATTATAGTCATTGTTTTCTGGACCAATTCGTCACGGTACTCATGGACATTTCAGATGTGCAACCTGACAATGTGACTTCCATCGGGGTACGTTTCATATATAAGTTGATATTCCTTTTATACATATTTGGAGATCCAATAAGTCTTTACGAGGACATATAAAACATGATTTTTAAATAATTTATTAGATGAAACATACATACGCACTGAAATAATCGATTGGAGTTAAATTTATAGAAAGATTGCAATTTCCTTCATCCAATGTAGAATTTGTTAACAAATTTAACGAACAAAGTCTGATATGTTTATTACATATATATATATATATGTTTATTATAAGATTATAATATAACATTAGTTCGCGGAATTAGCTTAGTGAATATACGTTTCTTTGGATGCATTTATATATAATTTGTATAAATATTTCTTTCCTAGTTTATGTAGGAAATAATTTTATTTTTCTGCTATATTTTAACATATTGCAAATAAAGTTGAAAATATCTTTGCAATAGTTTAAAAACGAATGTACACAATAGCCATTTATTTTTATAATAATACATAGTTTAAAATGTGTCGTGTGGTTGTGTTATAAACAATAGATTTCTTTAAATAATGTTATTAAGTAGTAATAATATTGGCTACATACGTGATTGATGTTTGTAAATATTAGCATATATCATATTCATTATATTGTTAATATAATTATGAAAATCATGAATGAAGTTATTAAAACAAGATGCTAAAGTTTATATCGGGAAATACATCGCAAGTGCGTTGAATTAATAATAATGACCAAAGAGAAGCGCTGAATGTAGCCACGAGAAAGCTTGAAGGAGGAGTGACAGATTCGGGTATAATTTGTTATCCCAGTTGAGTGGATATTTTTCGCTCTCACGACGACACGTGATAGCTTTTATATAACAGAATCTTAAGAATCCGATGAATTTCTAGAGATATAAAGGAAATGTGGAAGTACGGTCATACTAATCTTAGTCCAAAGTAATCACTAGAGATTGGATAATAGATACATTATGTGTAGATGGCAATATTCTATTTATAATTTGTATTATAGTATTATAGTAATAATAAATATTAGATTTCTACTATAGAAAAATTTAATAGAATTGAAGCAAATAATAGAATTATTATAATTGAATATAATGTCCTAATATATTCTTAATAAATTCATCTAAATTTAAAAATAAAAGATTTTTGTATGAAACAGAATTATGCATAATGAATTAATGACGATGAATTAATTATAATACGAAACTTCTATAAAATGCGATAAATTTTATCATTGTCTACATAAAATTATCATAATTCATTAATAATATAACAATGGAATGCTTAAAATTATGCAATTACAAATATTATTGAGAATATCTTTTATAATTTATAAAATAAAGTAATAAAAGTTTCTTAACCATTTAATAATCTACATGCATGCAAATCCTTAGTGTCCAAGTGATTCACGTCTTTTTATTAAATTAAAAGCTTATTATTATTAATTTTATTTAAAAAAAAAATACATATTCATAAATTACAATATTCTACTCCACTTACAATATTAAATTTAAATAGCTTTGTGTTCGAATTCTTGTTCAATTGCAGTATTCTTTCAAACACATAATACAAAGCTAATGAACATAGTCCTTTAAGGTTTTATGTTTATCGTATGCATTACCACAAAAAAGTACAATGATAAAGCTCATTAAAAATAAAAGGTAATCTACGCAATGTTAACTGTATAATAATAATATGATTTATTTGCATAATTAAAGGACTAAAGAATATAAATTGAGGTAATAGATTCTTATTCTCTATTGTTCATTGAAATTAATTAACAAGTTTATAAAAATTTTCTTTAAATTAACTCGGGCGAAAAATAATCGATACTTTATAATGAACAGTGTTTCATTTACTCGTCGTTCCACAATATACAAATACTGTTGCAAAATGTTATTAGCGGATATTGTCATTTTTGTTCCAAAATAATATTTATCAAACTTGTCATAAACTCTATTGTAAATATACTCGTTAAAGGTTACGGGTAAATGTTTACCAACAGCTTTTGTTTGATATAATTGACGTAAGGGAGGGTATAAGATACTGGACGTATGAACCATGTGAGTCAAGCGAAATGGACGGTAAATATTTATTTCTGAGGAGAAATACATAAAGATACGCTCATTTCGTCCCGTATAAAATAAAAAGGTTATTATATAATGACAATCGAACGATAAGTCTGAATTATAATACTATTATCACCTTTCTCCTTCAATTCTTGTAAAAAAATATTAGGAACTTTATTTTAAAATGCCTTTTTTTTTACCTTTATATGCATTTAATTTGTATGTTTGTATTTTGATTTTATAAAACTGCGAATTTAAACACATTGTAAATACTTTTATTCCTTTTCCTTATATTCTTATAGAAATATTTGCCGATGATAAAGTACATCTCAAAGGTAGGATATGCTGTTTCGTTCTCAACCCTCGTTGTAGCATTTTGCATTCTTGCCAGTATAAAGTAAGTATACGATAAATATATTGAAGAATATTATTTTATTTTTGTAAATAATTTCTTTATAAAATCTATGTGAATGCATTGATAAGGAATCGATACTAATTATTAGCACATCATAATTATTTAGTTATTTTTAATATCAACTATCATGGTATCTATAAAATTTCTTATAAATATATTATAATCCATTTTTCTCTTAAGGAAAATGTATTTATCAAATGCGCAATACAGAGAAAAAAATTATATCAACTTAAATGATAAATCGAATTTTGTGAATACTTTACATTAAACATTGGTAATGTTGTTTCACAATGAAAGAAGAGTTTATTCTTAATTTTACGTATTGATTTTTTTTAATTTACGGATTTTTAATTTTACCGAAAAATTGCTACTTCATCCAATACTTAATAGAATTTCATAACTTCATGTACTCAATTTATTATCTTTATTCATATTTATATAAAAATGATGAATACATTGTTACTAGTCATACACAATTTTCCCATACATGTCATACATTGAACAGCAGATTGTTCTTGCGTTTAAATGTTTTATCTAGATGAAAAATGTCTAAATGAAATTCAATTTTATTGTTTATCTTATATCTAAACCAACATAATTTTACTATAAAGTACCAGCATGTAAGCCACTCCTATCAATTTGAGTTGGCCATATTACTTTGGCGATTTGCTTAACATTTCTGCAATGTAAATTTTCCAAAATCATATTTTATTTCACCCCACAAACCGTTGAATTTTAGTTTCTTCCGCAGTTATTTTTTTAAATAAACAATCATTTAAAAAAATATCAATACGGCTTCGGTGCTTAAAATAATCTCTGGCTTTTTTTTGGCAAGCGAAATGCAGTTATGAAGTTTAATTTACTTTTCTTTGATTTACTTATCAAAATCATCTAATTCGTCATCATTCGTGTTCTTTTCCTATATATAAGGTTGAAAGAAACATTTGTTATTAAAAAGTCAGCCTTCAACGTAATTAAATGTAATTATTGCTATTTAATATACCAATCGTCGCGTTGGTTATTATTAATTATTGTTATTAAAAGCTTTTAAACTTTTTAAAAAAAATTCTTTAATGTATAAATTCATATATCAACGACTTATTAAAAAACATACAAATACTTTATACGAATAAACAAATATATTCTACTGTCGTATATATTTATGAAAAAGTGTGTATTATTTATTTAATTATATTGGTAATATTAAATTCTTTAGAAGTACGTAATATTAAGTAATTAAATCCATAAATTTTAAATAATAATTTCGAATGAATATAAAGATATTGTAAAAAAAATTTTAATTCCAAAAATATTAAATATTAAAAGAAAATAATTCACAACAAAATTAAAATACTTTATCAACAGTCACTTTATTTCTATCATAAAAAATGCATTACAAAAGAAGTAAATAAATAGATTGTAATTATTAGTTATCGAAACTAATTAATTCAATTTGTAACGAATTTCAATTTTAGAAATTTCTTTATTAATCAATTGTTTCATGCATAATTGCCTGCTGCATATATTTAATTATCATTCGTGTCGATACACGCATAAGCTATTAAAATATGAACAAATAATTTATTGAATTAATGTCTTATGAAAATATAGTAATTTTATCTATATTATTAAAATACCGAATGACTATTGATTTTTATGTCAATTTCATATATTCATTCTATGTTTTACCATAAATAATGCGCTTATAATAATTTCTTATTAGATATATGTAATTATATTGCAGTGCAGAATATATTTTGTAATATATTTTAAAAGACATTTAGTATTTCATATCTAAGTAGCAACTCATGATAGTGTAATAAAATTTCTAATTATTTAATAATTATATCAAATATTATGTAAATAATTATGAAAATTATTGTATCACATCTGTAAATAGAACGTATTTATAATAAAAAGATAATATAAAAACATTGCTCCTCGAATATGCTCTTAATATTTTAATTGAAACAAAATAATGACGATTGGTATTTGTACTATCAGTTTTATAAATTTTATAAAGTTTAGTATTAATAATATCATTTATTTTATAATGGCTTTGATGATTTTATATTGTTGATTGATGAAAAGTAAATTGACAAATAAGGAAAAATGATTGAATTCATCAATTTGTAGATCTACTTTTATATTTCGTTACCATTTACTATCGATCATCCCAGTTGATACACTCAATATCCAAACTAGCCGTCTCCTTTTATTCTATATAATATATCTATAAAATTAATTGCAGCACCAATAAATTAATTATTAATTAAAATTTTTAATACAAATATTACTATCAGTCTGTGCTATCATTACAAAATAAAGCGAAATAAAAAGTGACGAAAGATTAAAAATAATTATTATATTATTTATAATATTTACACTCATGGTAAATACTGATTCCATTCCCGGCTAAGCTCGAAATCGGTTGAAAAAAATTTAACAATTACTTACTTCTCCTCATAAAAACAATGTTAAAAAAACAATTACAGGAAGTTACGATGCCAGAGAAACATACTCCACATGCACTTATTTGCTTCATTTATGGTACGAGCCTTCATGTTCCTACTGAAAAACATTTTGTTTGTGGCGGGTGTTGGACTTTCCACGGATGTACTTATCAAGAATGGTAACAGCTATTGGCTTGCTGACAAATTTGAGAGTAATTGGCATTGCAAAGCATTTACAAGTACTTGGCAATATTGTATTCTCGCAAATTACTCATGGATTCTAATGGAAGGACTATACTTACATAATCTCATATTCTGTGCCCTTTTCGCGGACGCGAACGCCAACATTACCGTCTACATTGTCCTTGGATGGGGTGAGAGCCACTATTATCCTTACCTAATCAAATTCTTAACAAATCTACAAATTTTTTTTTTTATTCGATTACAATTTCTACTTAAGATCTATTTATCAAGATTTATTTACAAGCATAAAAATGTTAATAAATATCATAATGGCTATCGTTGAATAATGCACTTCGATTAACAAAATCATCCCATTTATACAATTAACTATCTTACTTTAATTGAAATTGATAAAGTTGAACTTGAAGAATTGTTGAAAATATAGATTTGAAAGGAGAGAAGGCTAATGTAAGACTTTGTACTAATCAGAAGCTTTAAAGCAAACTTTTTATTTTTAATATAATATTATAATATTTATAATATAAATTATTAAGTTCAATTTTCACTTTATAAAGACCAATCACTTTCAAGCTTATTTATTGTTATTGCTATTTTTTTTTTTAACAAATCCACTCCTCGAATAGGGTTGTGAATTCAAAGAAAGCTTCATTTAACTCTTCTTTTCGATATAAATCATTAGCATAGACCATCTCTAAACTTTGAAAATTTAAAAATATATTTTTCAATCTTTTAAACTTTAATTAAGGAACAAAATTAATTTTGTGATTCTTTAAATAAAATGTTATTTTAATTAAAAATATCGAGATGTTTTAAATAAAAAAAGACAATATTAGCATAAATATAACGATATCCTACTTTATAATGAATAAAAAAATTTTCAACAAAAAATTTAATCTGATATACAATCCTATGCATGTCTCAATTAGTTTACTATTTTTTTTTTTTATGAAAAAATTTAAACAATTAAATATTGATAATCCTTTAATTCTTATATTTAAAAAACTATGAATTAGTCGAATAAATTGGACAATTATATAAATGTAAACTAACAATATAATTATTGGATCTTATTTATAAGCAAACATTAATTTAACAATAAATTATGAGCATATGTAGAAAAAATAAAAGTAATGATAAAATTCAGGCAATTGGATGACAAATTAATTAATATAATAAGTAACGACGGGTTGTTTAATACTGTAACAAATATTTGAATTTTTTAGCTGTGCTCATTGCTCCTTTCATTAATCTTCGTGATAAAAAATATCATTATTTTAAGTTTATTCTTTCTCCCCTTGTTATTTTGAAAATACTTTTATTCCAACTATTAGAATGTAATTTTTTGTAAAAGAAAATAAATAAATAAAACAGATTCGAAACATTGAAAATGTATACATTACAATAATTATTTAAATTTTTTCTTTTTAATATTTTATTCAATTCTTATAGATTGTATAATTGTATTTCTATTATGAAAATTAATAGAAAAAAAAAACAAAAATAAATAATAATACCGATTGAATTTTAATAAGTAACAATAGTACAAATGAGCCAATAAAATATGATAAAAACAATATAATTAAAATTATGCTTTAAAAATCAATATATTTCAAATTAGTTATTAATTTAACTGAATTCTTAATAATTAACAGGTTTGCCTGCAATTTTCGTCACAACATGGGTTATTCTTCGAGCTTTATTCGAGGATATTTATTGCTGGACCACGCATGACAATACATTAATTTTTCAAATTATTCGAATACCCACTACATTTTCAGTAGTTGTGAGTACAAATTTTTATGCATTAAGTTATATATTAAAATTGAAATGTCGATTTCTTTAAAAATTAAATAGTATATTTGATGAAACAATTCTTCCAAGATTATCTAATTTTTTTTTTAAATAATTGTCTAATTGTCTAATTGTCTAATTGATGAAATAATGCCCAGAAATATTATACAAGTATGTATAAATGTAAATAAATATAGTATGTATAACATTTTCTTAATTTAAAAGTGAAATATTGACTAATATTATGTTTTACAGATTAATTTCATACTGTTCGTGAATATTGTAAGAGTTTTACTGTCGAAGCTCAAGTCGACCGTGTCGGAAGATACCTTACGATATAAGTAATTACATGAATAATCATTTTTAATTCTCTACTTCAAGTGGCGATACATTTTAACTTATTTGTAATATCGAATCAGTAAACTTTGTAAATGTGAACATCATTAAAATTCCACGAATGCTGTTTTAATAATTATACACGAGAGATGCAAAATAATTTTATATCAATAACTATAACTATTTAAAGTAACAATCGCTTCACCTGGCTCGCCCAAATTGATGGATTTAATAAATTTTTCTTTATAATACAGGAGATGGGCTCGAAGTACGCTAGTACTAGTACCGCTTTTTGGAGTCCATTACTCCATATTTCTGGGAATGTCCTATAGCATGGGAATCAACGAAACGGTTGAAATTGTGTGGCTTTTCTGCGACCAATTATTCGCATCGTTTCAGGTTTGTCCTATTTACATTTACACGGGCATTAATGTGCATGTTTGAGCGTCCGACCAATCGTGTGCATTACTACTTGCACTGATTTCCACAAATTTATACATTCCATCGCTGACTTTTGAAATTTTTATATTAATAAAAATTAGTAGATGTATAGTTTATGTCAATGTATTAGAATCTATTTTAATAATTACAAGAGATCCTTGAATGAGCAGTAGTAACGAGCCCCCATAAACTAACATGTTTGTTTATTGAAAAAACAATCGTTATCGCTGCTCGCAACATCAGCCCCGAGCTAACCCGTAATCGGTAACAACAGCTCTCCCGTCTTTGAAAAATGACAGGGCTTCTTCGTGGCGGTGCTCTACTGTTTCCTCAACGGGGAAGTGCGCGCCGAGTTGTCCCGGGCACTGCGCGCCCGCAAGTGGCCCCGACTCCCGCGGCTCTGTCGTTCTGGCACGCGACCCTCCACCCACTCGGGCAGCACCTGCAGCTGCAACACGAGCGCCGGGGACGGCGCCAGAGGGATGGTCGGGAAGCACGAGGGTGCCTTGGGCAGATGTTGCTGCTGTTGCTGCTGGCCTTGCTGTAGAAGCCTCCTGGCGGCTTACAGGCGCTCCGCTTCCCGACACCATAGATCCATCCACTCGATGGCTAGTACCCAAGGTGTTTTTTTTTGTTTTTTGTTTTTTGTTTTTTTTTCATACTTTTCACCTTGTCGTATCCTCCTGAGCGATCTGCATAACTAAAGGCAGTCATCTCGGCCTTTTGCCATCTATTCTGTGCTATTTAATCGTTAACAGTAGAGCAATGCCCTTATTTATACTCATCCTCGATCACTCGAGCCTGTAATAAAAGAGCCGCTGATTTATTTTTACGAGCGCATAAAGTATCTGCGAGTGTAAATTGATAAAACAGTCGTAGATTATACTATAAATTAATTAAGTTGGATTATTGATTTCTAACGAGTTATGTTGAATGTTAAGCAACGGTCTATTGTAAATCAGAATTACAAAGACTTTATGATTATGAATGAAGAAGAAAATACACAATGGGATAGGAATCTTGAAGTTTAAATTGATAAATTACCGATAAGTACAGTCTGTGTTGAAAGTTAATTTATACTATTCGGATATATAGAATTCGAAGAAATATATAAATTTTCTGAAAATGTTAAATTTTGCACAATTCTTATAGCAAAAGAAACTATCGTATTTATTCTCAAATGTATGAATATTGGTAATATTAATAATAAACTTGCCAGCTGATATAATATGCGTGGACATTAGCTATTTGTTGTAATTAAAAAACAGATGTATAATGAATAAGATACGAATCCGAAATTTCATATTATAGATTATAAATCAATTGCATTGTACATTTAATTGGTATTAATTGGATGTTTAAAAAAAATCTAACCTTGCATAATTAAGCCTATAACCAACAACTATAATATCTATGTAATAAACGTACAAATATGATATGTTGAATCGTGAAAATTTTGTTCGTTATGAAATTATTTGTAATATAGGTATGGGGGACTTTTCGAATGAAAGATTCGTTTCCTTTATAACGTAATGCCGCTTTACAATTAAATTTGCCATTGTAATCATCCCTTTATAATAACAAAGTGATCCTGCACCACTAATATGGTAAAGAAAATTTCGAATGTAAATTTTTATCGTCCTAATATTAAATAGCATTGCACATAAATAGCAAAGCGTCATAGAAGACTCGCGTGCCTATGCTCAATTATAAACTTATCGACATCTATTCCTTTCTATTATCCATTGGCATATCTCTCGATACTCTATTTTTGCAGATATTGGAATCGGTACACGAGGCGGCAGTTTAGCGAGTAGTCGAGGATATCTCGAGGTTGCCGGCACAGGCAATAGTCCCGCAACCGACACAAACCTACAAACTTCCTCGATGGTAACATCATTGACCAATAATGTTGCTTCCTCCCTCTGTAAGAACATTGACCAGAATCTATTGTCTTTCTGCCCCAATGTGAGTTATTAGATTCACTTGTTTATTTATTGTTAGTAGTTATAAAATAAAAAAAAATAAAAAAACTCCCGTAGTTGAATAAAATTTGAATTCCTCGAAAATCGTTTAACTCTTTGTATTAATTAAGTTTACAAAATATAAAGTTTCGTAGAGAAAATGTAGTATTGAATTATTTGACTGACTGTAAAAAAATGTTTTTAATTAAGCCACCATACATTAATAATTTTAATATAATAATAATAATCGTGCAATGACGATCATTGTGTAATAATTTTTAATACTTTTATATATTTTTACAGTTTATACTACGTTATAAGTTCCGAGCAAGGAATATATTTCATTTGCCAGTAGCTGATAAATGTTAATTAAATCCAATGAAAATAATATTAATAATGCAGGACATAATTTTTACAATGATATACAAAGTTTTAAAGTTTAAAACGAGAAAATTTATTTTAATATTTGTTATTAAGTAGCTTAACTTAAATTTACTTAATTAAAGATTATAAAAATAACGTTTGGTACATTAGGAATTAAATTTCAAATTTTAAACATCAGATGCGTCACAAGGTTTAAAATATTTATCTATAACATATGTAAAAACACAATATGAAAAAATTACTTTATAATATGGTATTAGATATATTGAAATATACGTATAAGCTATAATGTATAAGCTTTACTTAAATTAAACATTTGTCAAACATCAATTTTTTACTACACCAACATATAAAGATTACTACGTGTTGTTGTTACTCTCAAAATTTCATCAAATCGTTATGCACATCATATTTTTTATAATTAAAAGTTTTTAATAAATTAACGATATAATTCTTCCACCCTTTAAAATTCCTTACTTGTGTATAAGATTTTGTTAGTTAAATCGAAATTCCATAATTATTGCTACACAATGAAAGGTATTGCCAGTTGACGTTGAAATGAAACGATTATAATTAATTTAATTATTATTTTATATTTAATTATTATTTAATAATTGGCTTAATTATTATATTAAAAATATTTTAATACCAATATGCCTCTGCAATAAGAGATTAAGCAAGCACAAAGAATACAAAAATCGTATATTAATATTTTAAAATTTTTCACAAAAATATAGATTTTTGAAAGAGTAATAATGTAATATGCAATTACATGACTAATGCTTATAGATATCGGAGATGGAAAATTGTACTGTAGCGACAGCTACGGCAGCAGTCGATAAATGCGATAATCAAGGAATTATACACGATGAAAATTGTTGGAGTGAATCCGAGTGTTGCCACTTGGCTTATGAACTGCATCATCTTCATCATCAAGAAGACTCATGAAAAGCGCTCTTATTAATAAGATAGTGTAACTGCGATGAAAAAACTATCTTCTCCGACGAGGACAGAGAGAGAGAGAGAGAGAGAGAGAGAGAGAGAGAGAGAGAACAAAAGTACCTGATACGGGTTCAAAAAACAAAAAGTATCACGTATTAGCTCTATTAAACAAAAAAAAATGGTAAAGCCAATTCTCTTCTTATATATGATCAAAACTCTTAGTATTTGATATTTATATATTATTAATGTACAAATATAGCGCTCGTTGTTTTCTTTTTTGTTTATATGTTTTTATAAAAATATTTAATTAACACATGGCGATCTATATAAATTCATCCTTTTCTCCCAATGAATTATTTAAAAACGCATTCTATTGAAATAAAAAGTCTACTATACGTACAAAATAAAATATGCAAGTTACTACTACTATGAAATTATTGTCATATCAGATGAAGATAACTATGATTTTTCTATAGAAATCGGTAAAAATAGCTAATACATTTTAAAAGTTATTTCATTAATTTTGGTAAGAAAATAAAAAATAAAAAAAAAATAAAAAAAAATTAAAAAAAAATTAAAAAAAAATAAAAAAATTACAGATATTTACTGGCAACATCATATCACAATACACCATAAATCAAAATATGCTTTTCACAAATGACTTAATTAATTGCCGTATTGTCTGTGAAATATTATTACATGAAATATTGTCTTCAAATGCTTCTTTTGTATTACAATATTACTCAAAGAAGAATATAAAATAATTTATTTCTGTAAATCTTTAAAGCAGGTCTACGGTTTTCCCATACAATCTTATTTGATGGATATATTTATTTCCGCCTCATACTAATCATTGCATGTGATAACATTTCAATGAAAACTTTTTTCCATACTAATTGTAGCATTAATAAATATTCAGGATTGTTACGTAAATTGGAATTTATGATAAGAATAAGTATTTATTTAAAAGCTATAATAATTAAATATTAAATTCAATATTGATTAAAAAAAAATGGTGTATATATAATTTTATATATTATAAAAAGTGCATCATCAAAACAAACAAACAAAAATGTCCAATTATGAAACTTTTTAAATCCTACTTTGCACCTTATTATTAATACAAACTTAATTAATATTCTTGTGCGCGCGTGTGTATGTGTGTGAGCGCGCGCACGTGTGGGTATTAATAATAAGATGTAAAGTAGGATTTAAAAAGCCTCACGAGTTCATCATATATATATATATATATATATATATATAAAATAATTAAAAATATATAGTTAATATTTTCTCAGAAATTAAATAATAAAAATTAAACAGAACTTAATTACTCTAATAAAACTTTTATTCATCAAAAAAGTTTTATGAAGTATAAATTGTAATTACATTTATAATCTAATATTTACTGTATTTAACTTACGCTATATTGTACTAAAAAATCTATTGTGATTCATGCTTTTTTTAAAATCATTTTTAAATTCCTTTTGAAATCTTTTCAATAAAAAAGAAGAAAAAATGATTTTAAAATATTTCATCGTTAATTTTTTGTGAAGTAATTAAAAATTATGAAATCAATAATTTTTTAATGTAAGATTACTTTAAACAGTGACAAAAAAAAAGGAAAAAAAAGAAAAAAACGAATATCATATAAGTAAAAGGAGAGAATATTAAAAGATCTGCTTTTGTGCCTTAATATATATATATAAAATTATTACGTCCTTTACTGGAATATCATATTGGTGAAACGGGTTATTTCAAAGTAAAAATTGTGTATTTTAAAGCTTATATGATATTAAATTTGATTCCCAAAATTACTTTTAGCTATAAACATATTTAAATGGGAAACGATTTTTTTCTAATTGCTATTATAAAACTCTCTTATACCAAAATATACTTAACTTTGACGAAATAAAAATATCTTTTTGACCATAGATATTTAATTTAACTTTTTCAAAATTTCGTCTTTTAAGATTATTACCTTTTCCATATATTCTTTATCATAAATTTTTTAACCTTTACGTTGAAAAATTTTTTTTGAAGCTAGTAAATTAAAAGTTTAGCATTCCAATGTACGTAATAACCCTGGCTATGGAGTAATATTTTTACAGGCTCTGTCTCGTATAAATATATAAGCTTTTCATAGCTTTTCAGCATCGTATTTACTAAGAGAATATTACAAGATCAACTTTGAATGAAAGAATAAAGTTATCTATTCTTTGTTATTATCTTTATATATAGTTTTAAACAAATGTCAGTTATTTAAAAAAAATATATATTTGTTCACATAGATTAACTGTATTAATAATAGTATTAAGTAATATTAAATTAATGTACCCTTTTCAGCAAAGAAAAATAAATGTATGAAAACAATGTATAAAATGCATAGAAAGATTATAAAAAGCAATGATTTTGTTTTGTTGCATATCCTTTTCAATGTTCTAATACACAATTTAATAGATTATAATACATTTTAGATTTTATGAAATCTATTGAAATATTATTATTAAAAACAAATTAAATTATTATTATTTCGCGCGAATAGCTTAATACAGACTATTGACTCGAATTCCATTTTTACAAAAATAGAGATCAAAAAGATCACAACGAGAAACAAAGTATAGCACAACTACGCTCTGTAGGATATTATTTAATAACATCTTTGCCAACATATCAATATAAAGTATTTTGCAAATTTACAATATTCTGCCTCTATTTAATTTTCATTGCTTTATTTCAATTAATTTTTTTTAATGTTCCGAATGAGTTTATAATTATCAATTAACTGAATTAAAAATTTTTATTTTACAGGTCAATATATTAAAACTTAATAAAACTAAATTTATCATTTACCATTAATAACAATATTTGTAAAAATATTTATAAACCTTTTTATACGTAGCACATACAATCATTATTAAAAAAAACTATTATCCCTAACTATCTGTTATGATCATTTACCATCAAACATTATATAAATATAAATGATCTCATTCGCTCGTACGCCACATCCTTAGATACATAATATATAATTAAATATTATATTATAAAGAAAAATTATACTTTATAATTAAAATCTACATTTGAAAGAATTTATTAAAATTTATTCAAATATTATCGCCAATGTTTCCAATAATTATAGCAAAAAATTAAATAAACAGTTTATATACATTAAATAAAACTATAAAGTATATCCAAATTAATTTTTTGCTAAAATTAAAATTGATCACATTTTATTGTTGACTTAGCGATAACATAAATAAACAGTATTTTGTTGTTTCGTGTACTGTCGACTGCCAAAGAAACAAGTATAATGATTTAATATTATGTTATAAAGTGCTGGAACAATGATTTAATTATATAAATATGATAAATTAAGTTAATAAATGTCATTAAATTAATATAATGATTAAGTTTGAAAAACCACATAATTTAATAAAAAAAACTTCTATATATTTATATGTATATTTATATGTATATATATATATATATATATATATATATATTAATATATTAAATTTCTAAATTTATATTGTATGTTTTATTTTTATATATTTAAAAAATGATTTGTAATCATTTGAAATGATAATCTACAGATGAACTAAAATTTATTACGTCGAAAAATTAAATTTTTCAAACAGAATACGTATTTTCTGATCATACAATTTAAAAAATGCACTTGAATACAAGTATTTTTTAATGAATAAGTTATAAAATTATAAAATATATACTCTACATATAAATTTTAAATACTATTACATAAATTATAGTTGATTTATTATAGAAAATTTATTACTATTTTATTAACATACTTTTTTCACAAAATTAAGTAAAAATTATACACTATATATACTGAAAAATTACTTAACTAATAAATTGTGTAATATTCTTGAGATTTATTGATGAGAATATAGATTCATTTTTCATGCTATCGTACTTATTTTTATTAAGCGTAATACTATTTACCATTGCATTAGCATCATGTGATTGAAGATAATAGTCAACGAAATTACCTTCTGGATCAACTAAATATATAATTATTGTATGATCGACCTAAAATATATTTAAATCGTATATATTAGTCATAGTAATCGCACATTAATTATTATACATTTATTTACAGTATAATATCTTACAATATAATCGTTATCCTCGTCAGGCTTTGCACTGCTGTGATAAACTCTGTAATTTTTACAGACATTAGCAATTTGTTCGGGTGAGCCACTTAATCCCACAATTTTATCTGAAAATTTTTTCACATATTTCC